CCTCCCCCGAGGGGTCGTCAGCCAGCATTGTCCGGTCGACAGCACCCGGAGGAGGCCCAGCCTGTGAGATCTTATTGGCCGTCTCACAGATATCCAGGTCCTAGGCCATGTAGGGCTTTAAAGGTGATAACCAGAACCTTGAAGCACATTCAGAGACCAATAGGAAGCCAGTGCAGCTCACGGAGGATAGGTGTAACATGGGTGTATCTAGGTACACCCGATATCGCTCGCGCGGCTGCATTCTGGACCAACTGTAGTCTCCGAATACTCTTCAGGGGCAGCCCCTGAAAGTTCCTCTGGACACCATTCCAGTGAGAAGAAGGAAGTGTGTGTGTGTGTGTGTGTGACCCTCTGGGAACTGCCTAGAGTTGCTTATACTACGAGATGGGCAGCATATTATTTATCGTATGGCACATTCCCATCACATTTCAATTAAAGAGATAAAATTATAAAATATGAAATCTAAAATCTAAAATATTATAAACATATATCTAGATTACAGATATAATTTTTGCTTCTTTTGTCATGGCTAGGAAATCAGTAAAGTCTCCATCATAGGCTCTGTTTTGGCATTCTGTCACTATATGTTGGATATAGAGCCACAGTCACTATTCGATGATGCTATTTTGCTTCACTTATAGAAAGTAGTCAGCACATCTTCCATGGCCAGTGTGAATTAAGTTCAGTGTAGTCCATCTCTCATGGGGCTGGTCAAATCCCACTGTTTTTTTCAAGATGCAAGGCAAACTTTGACATTGTGTGTGGGCAGTTTTCTATTCCATGCTGTTTTCACATACTGTGTATGTCAAATCATCATCTACAGGTACTTTAGCAATAGAAATAGCTGGATATTTGAATCTGAACCTGTTTTGCTCCAGGAATGCTACATCGTTCAATATTAGTAGTTGGGAGTTGTCAATAATCTTCAGGTATTCTTGGAACAGGCCATTTTTTGTATTACTTCTGGGGGTGGTATATGGTTCAGAAAAGGCAACCAGTATGTGGGAGTAGTTCAGATCATCCCACAAACAATCTGCATTGACTCATGCAAGTGTGTATCAATCCTGTTTGTGTAAAGACTATTAAGCATATTGGGGCCAATACTTTGCTGCTGAACAAATCAACTGAATGCAGATACCTGTAGTGCGTCCATTGCCGAACCCCAACTAGTGCCATCCAATTTGTGCAGCATGCTATTTATACTTCTCAATTTGGCAACATACACATTTAATGAACAAACACAAACTTCGGCAACCTTTGTGAATGTAACAGAAACTTTCAATTGAGATAAAAGTTTTAAGAGACATTTATAGGATACGGGCAGTGGACAAAATTTTCAAGTAATTCACTTGAAGGTTAAAAAATGATAAAGCACAAAAAAGAAATGTTGCTCAAAGTTGGAAGAAATAAAAAGAGCTTTTTTGTTATGCTAATAGAAAAGGGAATTAAAAATGCAAGCCTGTCTTAAAACATTTACACTGCTCAAGATATGATCATGACTGCCAAATGAAAGCAAGATGCTTGAGGCAGTACCAACATCTTCAATTCTGGCATTTTTGTTGGATTTTGAATAGTTTACTCTGTGCTTATTCTGTTTTAGACCCGGTTTGTGGATACAAATTGCACAGGCCACTTTGGGGATGACTGTCATTGGCAAATTCAACTTTCTTATACTGACTTCTGATATCATTTGCCAGGACATTTTGTAGACGCCTCTGTGGGTTGAATTTAGGGAACAAGGTCAATATTGTCATGTGTGTGTATGTGTACGTGTGTCTGTGGGTGGCGAGAAAATTTATTTAAAAGTGGCCGTGTAATTTTATATGCTTGAGAAGGAAACTACTCAACTCCTTGTTGAAGCCAGATTGATGATTCATGATACAATCCTACTGAATAGATAACTACTGATATGGTTTCAGGTCCAATTTAAAATATTGGCTATTTGAAAGACTGCTTAAATGAACTTGCACTTTGTCTCAAGATCACATCCAGTCAGTTATGAAAATACGTTAGTACTACATCCTTTCCTTTTCAGACATAAATATTCTATATACCGGTAAAGTTCCTAAAGCTTGTTTATTTTCTTCAATATTACTTCCCAGTTTTGTTTCTGCTTGTTTGAACTGGGTTGTTTTGAAATGGTCTATAAAACAAATCAATACATTTGAGCTATTTCTGTTAGAGAAGAAGTAGAAACAAACACAAAAACAAAGGTGATAGATTGCATGGATGTTTCTCTGCTGTCAGTAGGAATTAAGCTCAACTTGAAGAAACCTTTACTTTTTGTTTTGTTAAACTCAGGAACTGAAGTTTTGAAATTTTTAATGCATTTATGTAAATAAAACCTACCAGCAAATAAATACAGGGAACAAACATCCGATGGCTCTGAAAAACGTTACCTAATCCTTGTTTGATTAGCTTTGATTATCTTGGCAAAGATAAATTTTCAAGTCAGATATTACAGATTCATTCATCCTGGAATTACCACTGTTATTCTGACATAGGCTTTTAATACGTAGCATAGATAAAATTTTCTCAGTGGATTTCCCTAACCACAAAAATTCTCCCCCAATCTTTTCTTTCATGTCCTGTCTATCCCATAAATTCATTCTTATTGTCTTCTTGCAAAGTTTATTGCTTCTTAATATTTAATGCTACATGGTAGTATTCATTGATTTTAACTTTTTTTTAATGCTTGTGGTCAAATGCTGCTGACTTCCATGATTATCATGCTTTGTAGTAGGAAGAATGAATCTTCCAATATAAGGATTTCATACTATAATTTCCCTATAATATGTTAATACATAGCAATATAATGTGCAGGTTTTTATACAAGACATATGTCGTTAAAAGCATGCTTCAGTATGGTCAGATGAGTGACTTTGATTTTCTCCTTGTATGACTGTAGGAACCCATATTGAAGAGAGATTTGAAGGAAAGATAACATCCCATATGTACCTCCCCAATCCTTGAGGACATCAAAAAAGGCCCTATTACAGGTGCCCCTTCCAACTGAAATTGGTGAGTAACTATTAGTTCTAGCACCTTTCTCTGCAGTGAAATCATTGATTGTTGGAACTAGTGGTTGTCCAGATTTGGGGAGTTCAAACATTAACATGTTTCATCTTCCCAAATCTGGACAACCACTAGTTCCAACAATTCTTCCAAAGTCTTACCAAAGAGGAGAATTAAGGATTTTGTTAAAGAATGATAAACCTTTTCTTGCTATTACTATTTATGTGTTACTATAATTCCTATGTTACTGTTATATGTTACTTTATGACAAGAATTGGTAAATTGTCATGAATTGACAGATTCTTAACATAATTCATTTGGTCCAGAGGTGGGTTCCTACTGGTTCGTACTGGTTCAGCCAAGTAGGTAGTAACTTGGGCCTGCCACACCCCTAAACTGGTTCTAGTGACGCCGGTGCCATCTTGATTTTTGGTTCTGCGCATTTTCTCCCCTTTTCTAACATTGTGCGCAGGCACAGACCTTTTTAGATGCAATAATTTTTTGCGTGCTGAACCAGAAGTAATGCTGGCAGGAACCCACCCCTCACTTGGTCCCATTTTTATCCAAGCATAAAAATAACAGAAATCTCAAAGGGATTGCCAAACTCTGTCATTATTTAATAATCTGACCTCAGATGTCAGGCAAGAACAACAAAATTTTGTGAAATTTAATATCACAATACACAAACACACACACACACACAGGCATACAGACACTAATGTAATCTCTTTCCTAAATAAAACTTTTCCAGGGCCGTTTTTTTTTCTTTATACATTTCTGCTTCTGTTGTGATTTACTTTGAAAGAACATAAAAAATAAATTTCATAGCTGCAGAACATTGATAAATTGTAATGTACTGTAAGAGATATGGCCTTCTGAAAAATTTTCAGAAATTACAACTGCTATAAAAGTTAGTAATCTGTAAATGACTGTTGTGAGCATGCTAGTTATAAAACACTGGTTATTGATTCATTTCTGTAGTTAATTTTAAAACACAAGCTTTGCCTTTAAGGCTATGGGTAGGTGGACAAATCGGAACATTGAATGACTGTTGTTTTTTTCCAAACAAACCTGCTTATTAAATAATATCTTAATCAGATATCTGCTCCATTCCTAGCTTTAGGCAGGGTCAGTGGAGAAGATATTTGTAGTATGGCACCAAATTTCCTTCTTCACTGGTATCTAGGTTATTATGTTTACAGTCCTCGGAGAAGGTTATGAAGTTCTCAATAATATTCAATTGCTTTTAAATGCATATTTATTCATTTATCAAAAGCAGTTTATCTTTTTCATCCAAAAAGACCTGGTGAAATAGAACATAATAAAAGAAAGAAAGAAAAGGGAATGGGAGGAAAAAAATCAGAAGGAAGGGAGGAACAATAAATTCAGTTACAGATAGTCCTCTACCTATGTTCATTTGGTGACCATTTGAAGTTACAATGGCATTGAAAAAAGTGACATAATCATTTTTCCCACTTATGACCATTGCAGTATTCCCATGGTCATGTGATTTGCATTTGGATGCTTGATAATTGGTTCACATTTATGACAGTTGCAGTGTCCCAGAGTCACGTAATCCCCTTTTGCAACCTTCTGACAAGCAAAATCAATGGGGAAGCCAGATTCACTTAACAAACGTGTTACTCACTTAACAGCTGCAACAATTCAGTTAACAAATGTGACAAGAAAAGTCATAAAATGAGGCAAAACTCAACAAATTTCTTACTTAACAACATAACTTTGGTGCTTAATTGTGGTCATAAGTCAAGGACTACCTGTACTATTTCATAAATAGTCTATATTATGATTATGAGTCTGCTCCCCTTTATAAATGATATATTAACGCATAGTTTTTATTTATAAGGTTTTAAAAAATCTTTACTTTGTTAGCTGCTTTGAGAGATAAGGCATATAGAGTTCATAGATTGCACTGATCATCATTTGCTTGACATTTCACTCAAATCATTGCTACCTTGAAAGGTATAAATCAATGTTTTTCAAACTTGGCAACTTTAAGTTGTGGGCATGCTGCCTGGAGAATTCTGGGAGTTGAAATGTTCATGTCCTAAAGTTTAAGTTTGAAAAACACTGGTCTAAATGGTGACTATGGACACTTTATAAACTACTATCTCCTCTCTTACTGCTATCTTGCACACTGTTGTTCAACATGCGATTCTGGTTTGGAATACCAACTAGAAGAAGCACACATGGAGTGCCAGAAGCCAGGATCTTTTCAACATGATGTGAATACTCTGCATCTATGCCCTGTCACTAAGTCTCTTGGTTCTTTAAAGAAGAGGAAATAATCATTTTATTACCAGATACATCATTGTTATATTTTTATGGTTTTCAGTTTGGTCAAGATGACTCTACAAAATCACTTTAAATCTAATTTCCAGCTTTCATTTTAAAAAGTGACAACATGCACTTCACAGCTGCTAATATTATGGAGTCCACTCAATGAAGCAACTGGAACAGAGTTGGCTCATTTTTCCTTCCCAACTAGTGAAGGGAAACTCCAAAGCAAAAATTTTGTAGATAACTGTGGTATATAGGCAGAGCAATATTTTTGCACATTGGTTGATATAATCTTTATGTAGCTATTTACAGCAGCTACTTTGTTAGCTGTTTAGAATTCTGGATGGCAAAAAACAGGATAATGCAATCTCCTCTCTATATTGGCATAGCTATGATCTGAGGAAGAGCAGTATACAGTACTATTAAGATTCCTGGCCTCAACACATCATTAGCTAGTTATGTGGAGCTATCTTTTCTGTACAGTCCATGGCAGCACCCACTGGCCTTGTGAACATATCTTTTCTTAATGAATTATTTTCTTGGTTCACTTAAAATAAATGTTACATTTAAAGTTTAAAGGAAAAGAATTCACAATAATAATTTGTGAATGAAAGGGGTTGTTTCTCATGCGCTGAAGAACAGAACAAGAGGCTTTTGAAAGCAAGTGAGTAAACTTGGTATAAATAATGGTGGCCTCATCAGGTAAAAGCTTTTAGCCAAACCTGTATGATCTAGGAAGTCAAGTAGGATCTGTTTAGCATTTGGATGGGTACAATGTGAGAATTCCAGGCTTATGGGTTACAGTGGCAAGTTGAAAAAACCCAGAAGACAGTGGCAAATCATGTCTGTAATGTTGCTAAAGAAATGTTGCATGGATGAACTGAAATTGTCTTTACTTTTATGCTGCTAGAAATGAATATATCAGTAGAAGGTAAAATTAATGCAAGCAAGCGACTCAGAGATGCCTTCCTTTGATTGTCCTTCATGCCTCTGTAGTGCACATATTCATTTAAGATTACTTTGAAATTCTGGGCAGGGAAGGTCCTTGATTAAAGAGAACCTCCACCAGAGACACTTCACTTCTGTGCATGAGTGGTATCAAGAAAGGAGTCAAAAAGACTGGAGATCCTAAGCATACATATTTAGCAATAGGAATAGCAGATTTATATACTGCTTCACAGTGCTTTACAGCCCTACTATGTGGTTTATAGAGTCAGCATATTGCCCCTAACAATCTGGTTCCTCATTTTACCAACCTTGAAAGGATGGAAGGCTGAGTCAGCCTTGAGCTAGTCAGGATCGAACTGCTGACAGTGGGTTAACCTGCAAAACTGCATTCCATCCACTGTGCCACCAATGCTCTTTAGGAATAAGATCCTGAATCCAATGGAATTTACTATAGAATAAGAGCAGATGGGTTTCCTTGTATTTGGAACTTAACACAAAGAATCCAGTTAACTCATTTTTGTTACATATAAAAGGTTAAAACAGCTCAATATTTAAATAAATTCCCTAATTTCAATCTCAGTTTACATGGAGTAAGGGGAAAGTGTTAGATCAAGTGATAATTTTGCAATCAGTATGAAAAAGGAAGGTTTTTTAAATTGTAGAAAATCAGTTATTTCTAGCATTTGCCATCAGTTTTGGTGTAGATTTTTATGGTAAATCAGGAAATTTTGGAAAAGCACTAAAAATATAAAATTCAGCTCCCCCCCCAACAGTTCTATTTTACCATTGTCCAACCTGCAAAAAAAGTTGGGAAAGCGTCTCATAACTTCCAGCCACCTGCCTTCACTCATAAAAATAAACATTTAGTTCTGTACAATTCTGGAGATTATACGCCATTGCCCACTTCTGGGATTTTTTTTTTTTTTTTGCTTCCCAGTCTGGTCTATAACTCTGGAATTTCCTGGGTAATTTCCCACCAAGTGCTATTCAGGTTCAACTCTGCTTTGTTTATTTTTTGAGGGGAGGGGGGAGGAAGGAGATAATCAAAGTCATCCCAAAAACTCTGGCAGTTGTGACAGTTTTCACCCATACTGTAATGTTTGGAAATTATGACAGTTGCAGTCCCAACATATCCAGAGGGTACCCAAGTAGGGATGGGGCTGTGTACTGACCATTTTGCCTGAATTTACATGTAATGAAATGTTGAAAAGATGGAGCATTTCTTTGGACACCAGAGAGCTTCCATTCAAGATTAGAATTGCAAACTTTGAGCATCGCTCAAAGTGATGCTCTTAAGGGGCATATTTTACACAGTGTCAAAAAAGAGGAATTGCATTGCTAATCAAGGAAATATTTTCATGCAACTTGCACATGCAAATTTATATGTATAAATACACATTCAGAAATAGTGTCTAATTTTAAAGAAACATCTTACCAAGAAATGCCTGTTCAGCCCAGTGTATAGAGAGCAGTACTAGAAGATAAAACAACTATATTCTGCTACTGAACAACAGGTACAAGCAGGGCTTTCTGATCAGTAAATCAATAAATAGGCCACCTGTTAGAGCTAAGTAAAAGGTAAAAACTACCAATTAATAGCTGGAGCACGAGCCAAAAAAATGAGAAGAATTTGCCTGCGAGAACCTGAAGTTAAAGAAACAGGCCTTGCTTGTCCTGAATAAACATGATCCCTCTTACCCCATGAGCGATACGATATTTATCATAATTACAATTCTAGTGGGAAAGGCACATTAATTGTT